GAAGTCAAAGGATATCCTGCATTCCAATTACGTGACAAAGTAATAAATCTTAAAGGATCTAAAGAATCATCATCTTGTGCTGCTTTTTTTCGAGATTTAAAAGTTTCTTCATCACCACTAAGTTCATTATTACTTTTATTCCCTGTCTCGACCATTTTTTGCCGTGCAACATATTGCAATTCATTCCAATAAATTGTCACATCTTCAACTGAATCAAGCATATAATCTCTGATAATTGGTCTATCTGGACCTGAAACTGAGAAGTCAATCATTGGAACATGACGCATTAATTGATACGCTGATGCCAAAAGAGTTTGTGGAGGACTACATGGTGTTGGCGCACTCTGTGACCATCCAGCTAATTCATCTTCAAAATCATTTGATTCATTTTCAACCTCAAAAACAGGATCACCACGTTCATTAAAACCTCTTCTAATTGGTTTTAGAATTTTCAAAGCTACGAGGATATCGATTAACTTTTTTAGATTTTGTCTTAATTTATAATTTCCAGAAAAAAGTTCTGCACGTAATTCTGATGGAAGGTTAATAACGCTCACTGACAGGCTTTGTCCAGAACGAACATACTCGGTCAGTCGATGACTCGGAATTGATTGCCCAATGATTTTAAGATATAACTCAAGCGGAAGATCACGAAGAAGGATTGTTGTATGAAATGTTCTCGTGCTTTTTTCAATATAAGAATCATCAGGAGATGCATCAATAATTTTAGTAATTAAATATTGATGCAATATTTTTGCTCGAATCATTTTAGCATTAATCCACCCATAACCACGCGCTGTATGAAGCCACCACATTTCATTAGAAGTCTGTACACGAGATTTGACTGAGGCTGAGTAAGGCGTTTCAGGTGTATCAGGTGAAGCTGATGTAGGATCAACAGTTGATGACATATTAGACATGAGTGCTTCATAAGATTCAGATTCATTATTATTGAATGTTGGTAAGTTAAGTAGATTAATTGATTCATCAGCTGCAGCTTCAACTGCAAGACGTTTTTGAAGTTGCTCTAGAGGTTCAACTTCTATATCTAATTCTTCAATCTTAGTTGGCTTATGGGATCTGCCAACAAGCATAGTTCTATCTTCCATTTTTGCAACATATTCTTTCACTATCGGGCTTGAAGATGTCAAACTTGAATGGAGAAAAAGGACTTTAGTGTTAAAGCTACCATTTAATAAGGGCAATTTCACATTATAGGTCCGAATAAGACCTTTTTCTTCCATTAATAAACCAGTACGTTGAAGAGTTTTCTTATCAATTACGTGACTAGTCGTACTATTTGGTTCCCTTTGCAGTGTTTGTTGATATAATTTTATGAGTTCGGTACCGAGTTCCACAACTTGGTGTTCTTCTAAAATTTGCAATATTATATTCTGTCTTAGCGTCGCTGTAATTGAAGCAGAGTTTGCAAACTTCTTTCTAATTGCAGGTTCAGATTTATTATTTGATGCAGGTTTTTTCCGTTTCCTGGTAACATTTTTAGAAGCCCGTGATGTCCGATTTTCACAATTGGTGTTAGTTGATGAAATTTCTATACAATCGGATCCATTTAATAATAGGGGATTTTGAGCATCTGTCGTCTCAACATTAGGGGATGGCAGATCATTGGATTCAATACGATCGGATCCATTTAATGATATAGGATTTTGAGCATCTGCCATTTCAACGTTAGAGAATGGCAGATCATTGGATTCCATACAATCGGATCTATTTAATGATATGGAATTTTGAGTATCTGTCATTTCAACGTTAGAGGATGGCAGATCATTGGATTCCATACAATCGGATCCATTTAACGATATGGGATTTTGAGCATCTGTCATTTCAACGTTAGAGGATGGCAGATCATTGAATTCCATACAAACATCTTCCAAATGTATGTCGTTAAGTTCATTTCCATCCTCATCTTGAACGGTTCGCATTTTTTTTCGTGGTGGTCTTCTAGGTTTTTTGTCCTTGCTTCCTTTCGGTCTCCCACTCTTGCCTTTTGGTACGGCAGGTTTTTCGCCATCAACAATTTTTCGTGGGCGTCCTCTTTTTCTTTTAATAGGTGGTTCTTGAGGTATAGCTTTATTAACGTCAGCTTGAGTCATCCGCCATTTTTCCTTTTTTCTTTTACGTCGATCCCTGCACTCCTGAGATTGCAAAAAGTCCGTATCCTTTTCTTCTTCACCATCCTGAAGAAATTCCACACCCCATAACGGGTCATGAATATACATTGGGGATGATTGATTTTCTGGAAGTTGTTGCACACCCTCTTCTAATGCCATTCCATTAGAAGTAGCAAACTTTATGTAACCATCAAGGGAGAAATAACGATATCGTCTTTCGCGGCCTTGAAATTCAGAAGCGCGCTTCACAGTAAACCGATTTAAACCTGGTGGTGTTGGTTTGACTAATCGCTCAAGAATTTTTGTCAAAACACGATGATTCATATTTCCGAAAACACTTTTGATGGCCTAGTAAATTTAGGATACATTTTTATGTTATAATCCTTTT